TGGGCTGGCATCCATGGTCTCTTATTGTCTACAGAATGTCTGTCCAGGACGTTCTGCTTTTCAAAATTTCCATTGAGAAGTTGGATAACTCTGATGGGTCTGTCTTCATATGTTACTTGGCCTTTTTCCTTTACAGCTCTTAGTATTCTTTCTTTATTCTGCTTGTTTAGTGTTTTGAGTATTATATGATGAGGGTACTCTATTTTTGATCCAATCTATTTAGTGTTCTGTAAGCTTCTTATACCTTCATAGGCATACCCTTCTTTAGGTTGGGAGACAATAGCAGGTTGATGTCTGTGTTTTCAGCACTTGAGAGGCAGAGACAACTGGATCTCTTTGATATGTGGTCAATCTTGTCTACATAAGTGATTTCTGGTCCAGTCAGGGTAGAGTAGTGAGAGCATAAGAACTTTCGACTTTTGTGAAAGAAACTCTGTAGCAATATGGATCCTCACATCCTCTAAGCTTACCTGCAATGCCATCAGCTCCTTACTTTAATGTTACAGGCTGACCTAGCCTATGTTTTAGTAGATATTCCTGTTACTTTGATAGAATACCCAGGCAACATAAAATTAGAAAGAATTTTTTTAGATGACAGTTCAAAGTATAGTCCATCACCGTGATGTGGAAATGAAGGTGACAGTGAGAAAACAATAATTATGCAAGAGCATAAGTTTCTCCATTTTACACAGTCCAGGATCCCCAACCAAGTAAGCAAACCACCCATAGAAGGTGTCTGTCTCTTCCTCTGTTAACACAATCAAGATAATAGGCAGACTCAAAAGCCCAGCTCCCAAGTGTTTCTATATCTCTCAAGCTAATAATTGACACTCTCATACTCTGCAATTGATACTTGAATTAAGCTTAAGACTATTATCTGTGTACTTCATTGCTGCTAAATGTGAGGCTGTGTATATGAACAAAGAAATTCCTGTTCTTTGATTTCTGTATGTCTTTGAGATATTGTGACTCAATGATATGACATTCCACACTTGATTATAGCCTTGCCACAAGTATAAATCTTCCTTAAAGAGTAACACATTGTGTGTAAAGGATGTAATAGGTGATTTTCAAAGTCCATGTCTAGTTTCTTTTCTATTGCTGTGAGAAAAAAAAAAAAAAAACACCATTACCAAAACAGCTTATAGAAGAAAACATTTAGTTTGAGGCACATGATTGTAGAAAAACAGAGTTAATGACCATCATGGCAGGGAGTATAGCAGTAGGCTGGTAGGCATGGCACCCACGGAAGGGCTGAGAGCTTAAAGCTTTTTTAAAAAAAAAAATTGAAGTATAAAGTCTTTTTAAATTTTTATTTATTTTTTTCACTTTATTTATCTATCTTCTATCTATCTATTTGTTTATTTATTTATCTATGTCTTTTTTAGGCAGGCTTTCACTGTGTAGCCCTGTTTGTGTAGGAATTCACTCTGTAGACCCAGATGGCTCACTCAGTTATCAGGTGATGGGATGAAAAGCAGGCACCACCACATCCAACTCTTTTTATTTTGAGAGTATAACACAATTGCAACATTTCTCTTTATCTTTTTCACTTTTCAAACCATCCTGTAAATGCCCTCTTTCCCTTTCAAACTGATGGCTTCTTTTTTTTTTAACTAAGGAGCTTTTAAATACAATCTTTTTCACATTTTGCATAACTATTCCTACTTCCTCCTCTTCTCCCACATTTCCCCCCTCCTCCTACCCAACCCCCCATCCCCTCTTCAGAAAGGGTAAGGCTTCCCATGGGGAGTCAACAAAATCTGATAACTTCACTTCCAGGCAAGACCAAGGACCTCCCTGCTATATCTAGACTGAGCAAGATACCCCTCCGAAAAGAATGTGATCCTAGACATCAGTTCAAGCAATAGGGATAAAACCTAGTCCCACTGCTATTGGCCCCACAGACTGCCCAAGACTTACAACAGTCCCACACATCCTGTGTGCTTATGTAGGTTTCTCTGCTGTCAGTCCAGAGTCAGCAAACTCTCACTAGCTCAGGCCAGTTTAGTGGGTATCACCATCATAGTCTTGACCCCTTTGCTCCTAGTATCTCTCCTTCCCCTTTTGGGCTAGTCTCAAGTAGTTCAGTCGAGTGTTTGAGATCTCTGTATCTGCTTCTATCAGTTGCTGGTTGAAGATTCTATGATGACAATAAGAAAGTTATCACTCGCACTTGGGAGGCAGAGAAAGGCGGATCTCTGTGAGCTCGAGACCAGCCTGGTCTACAAAGCTAGTTCCAGGACAGGCTCCAAAGTCACAGAGAAACCCTGTCTCGAAAAACCAAAAAAAAAAAAAAACCCAGAAAGTTATCACTCTGATTACAGGGAAAGGCCAGTTTAGGCATCCTCTCCATTGTTGCTTAGAGTCTTAGCTGGGGTCATTCTCTGGATTCCTGGAAATTTCTCTAGGACTATGATTCTCAATAACCCTTTAATGGTTCCCTCAATCAAAATATCTCTTTCTTTTCTCTCCCACACTGTCCTTCCCCCTTATTGAGCATCCCATCCCCTCATGTTTTCTTCCTCCCTCCTCTTCTTCCCTCCCCCTACTCTTTCACCCTTCCTTCTCTGCCCCCTCCTAATTTTCTCAGGAAGTCTTGTATGTTTCCCCTTTCCAGAGGCATCCTTGTATTTCTCTTTTAGGGTTCTCTTTGTTACCTAGTTTTTATGGGATCACGGATTATAGGTTGCTTGTCCTTTGCTTCACATCTAATATCCACTTATGAGTAATTACATATCATGTTTGTCTATTTGGGTCTGGGTTACCCCACTAATGATGTTTTTGTGTTCTAATCCCATCTCTTTGCAAATTCTGAAAATATACTTACATCATACATACTAAGAAAGTTATATTCAGTAATACATACATATACATAATTGCATGTAATAACAATTACTGAAAGGAAAGGTCTTATATCTTGATTAACAACATGAGGCAGAGAGAGCTAACTGAGGTGGCATTGGCTTTTGAAGTCTCAAAGCCAAGGCCCAGTGTCACATCTCCTTCAGCAAGGTCACAACTTCTAATCTTTTGCAGATAGTTCTACCAAGTGGAAATCACATATTTAAATTTATAAGCATGTGGGGACAATTCTCATTCAAACTAGCTCATTGCTATCCCTTTACAAGTGATTAACCTAAATCGGAGACAGTTAAGTCAATATCAGTTATTTACTGTCACTGTTTACATTTCTTTTCTCATTGCTATCTATATTTTTAAATATTCAAAGGGAATGTTCTATGACATAAATATGTGATAATTTTTAGCATTAGTGCCTTACTGTCAACTTGTGGAGGGTAACCCACTGCTCTGGAAATAGTCTGTGAAATTTGTGTTGGACTGTGAGAGCCTTTTGGCCAATAACCTGAAAAGATGAGGCCAGTTACTGGTACTGAGCGTTTCATTTGATGCCATAATAATTTTTGGTTGGGGTGTTTACCCATTATATAATAATAACTTTTCATAAACTATGTAATCTTTTGTATGTGTGTATATTTCAGCAGGTTTCTAAACTAGTAAGCTTAAAAGAGCCTTTAGTGTTTGTTGTTCCTCCCTGTAATCTCTTGTCTATTCTGACCTCCCATCTCTTCCCATTCATTCCTCCTCTTCTAATTTCCAGTTTATGCCTTTGAAACACTATATTGTCTGTCCTCTTTCTTAAAATATCCCTTTCCTCATCCTCGCTGCTAAATGATTATGTAACAGCTGTAGATAATTTAAAGGAAACACATATATCCAAAGCAGAAAATATGCATTGTTTATCTAGCATAGTGTTTTGAGACAAGGTGTCACAGAGCTCAGGCTGGTTCAGAAATTACTTTGTAGCCAGTGATCAAGAATTCCTGATCTGCCTGTCTCTACTTTCCAAGTGCTGGGAGTACAGTTTGCCAAATTCAATCCATAATTTTCAACAGAATATTACTGGATCATACCTAAAATTTTCCTTTATTTAGTAGAAACATATTTATGTAAATCATCATTAGCAGCGGTGACTTAACTATTTTTCCTCTGCTAAGCAGAAAAGCATTATATGAAAATTTGTGCCCCTACGGGGGAAACAAAATGCAAACTATTCTGTTCTTGGAAGAAACTTTAAAAACAAGCTTTCTGGGTAGGCATAAACAAGACAAGTCTGTGGCAATTGTTGAAGGATGCAGATATTTTGATATTTTTACCTGGGCTCTGGGCATCCTATTAACAAGACTGCATGTACCATGTAGTTGCTAATATATGTGTATCCTCAAAAAAACAAATACTAAATTTTGCTTATATTCTTCTATTTACAGCAGGGAATGCCACCCAAAACTTAAGATTATTAATAACAATTGATATGTATAAACACTAATGGGTCATAGTTTCCTGAAAATATAAATGGCATTGCCATAATGATTCTTTATTTCCCAAGTCTACGAAACCAGTGAAATTTTATTGACATCAAACAGCAAATACCAAAAGCCCTATGTTCACATAGTAGTAAATGCCATGGAAACTTGCATGCTAATCAAAGCAGCCTTAACTTATTACTTTAAATATAGAGACATAATTTTCCACAGCTTTTCTGGAAGTGGAAAATGCTGTTTTATCCATTCTCCAGCTTCAGTGTAGAATTGTTTCCTGACATTAACTAACACTCTTGTTCTCTAACCATTTCCCTTGTGACTTTCTGTTTACTATTTTATTGATTACCTGACACTCCAAGTCTGTCTTTTATATGGAATCTGTTTCTTTCATACACATAAGATATCATATTAGACTTCATAATCTAAATTTTCATCATTTTGTACAAAGAATATAAACTAACAAAAAGTCTAGAAAGCCTACTTGCTTTAGTTTTCCTATCAAAGTTTTGATTATTGTGTTTTTCTGTGCTGTTTTCTCTACTGAAAATGAATGCTGGTTCTAGTAAGGATTTGTAAAATCTCTATTCTTCATTCATGATCTTTAACTGTAAAACTCTGCTTTCCTTGAGATAGTTAACGTGCATTCTTTTCCCTCAGGTTCTCCATATCGAGACAAAATCACCATAGCGATTCTTCAGCTGCAAGAGGAAGGCAAGCTGCACATGATGAAGGAGAAGTGGTGGCGGGGCAATGGCTGCCCAGAGGAGGAAAGCAAGGAGGCCAGTGCCCTAGGGGTTCAGAATATTGGTGGGATCTTCATTGTCCTGGCAGCCGGCTTGGTGCTCTCAGTTTTTGTGGCAGTGGGAGAGTTTTTATACAAATCCAAAAAAAACGCTCAATTGGAAAAGGTAAACGTCACATTTTTGCGATTTAAAACACTTATGTTTCTTATGATAAAACACAAGTGACAATTTTTTCTATCAAACATGAGAATTGCTTTGAGCTATGACTGTTAATTGTCTTCTATCATTCATTCTATAACTAAAATATATATTTTGTGAAATATATCTATATATTTCACAAAGATTCATGATCATTATCATAGTCCTTAAACTTATTAACAAAATGTTTACTTGTCAGTTTGCAGAACAAATAGATATATAATCTTATTTAGGACTGAATAAGGAGAATTTTTTGCTTGGAGTGCATTGCTGTTAGATTATTGAGAGATACAGTTACTGAGGGAAGAAAAATCAGAAATTGTATTAAAAAAATAGAAATATCTTGTCAAAAACAATCCCAGGATTTAAGACATATAGTAATTTTAAGCTACTTAGTAAATAAATTTGAGTTCAGTAGAATTAGTCTCATAATTTTTTAATTAGAATATCTTTACTAGTACATCTTAGCTTGCATTAGAAATATTGCTAATTTTTTAAATTGGTGAATATATACAAATATTATGGCTTTGCAATGGCATCTTTTTCTTATTGAGTCTTTTCCTTACTCTAATCAAAGTAATTATGAAATATGTATAACCACATAAGTGTAATAATTTAATTTTTCTTTGTACCTCAATATATTTAGTCACTTGTAGAGAAACTTTTTTATTATAGTTGAAAAGTTTGTGTAATCACTTAGCTTCTATATTCCTAGTTCTAGACTATTTTTGTTCCTATAAATATAAAGAAAATCATGAAAATAACACAGATAGCACACCTCACCTCTGTATGTACATTTATAACTCTGGAAATGAAATGAACACTACTTTTTTCTATCTTCCAGTGTTTTATTTTTTTGTATATAATAATCTTGGATTTTGTTTTTAATAGAAACATATTTTAGGTGTTTAGTAAGTGTATGAATCAGGTTTTATTCTCTTTAGTATTTGTAAAGTTCATGTAGTTTATTGTGAAAAATACAAATATCAGAACAAATAGTATTTAAAAGCATAATATCAAAGAGTAAAATACGTAAAAATCATTCTGCTTCTATTCTTTGAATATAAATATTCCAGAAACTATTTTTGTAAAATTATAGATGACAAGTATCTTCCTTTGGTTTGAATGATTTATGTTATAATTGTTGACCCAATATCTTGAACTAGATATTAAAATGCATATGTTAAAATTTTACTTGATTGTAGTTCATGACAACTTTTAGTCATCTTTGACAAATGAATATTTTGATACCCCTATTCTATCTGACATAATAATGTGTAAATTTTCAAATTTTCAGACATTCATATAGCTTATATCCTAACAACATTAAGTTTGGCTATTTCTGGTAACANCTAAGCCAAATTCTGTTGTGTTAATTTTAGTTGGCTATATATAAGTCCACTCTTGATACTGTGGTTCTTTCTGTGGTGTGAAAATGGGTTTGTAAGAAAATATAAAGGACTAAGCAATGAACAATCTTATCAAGTCAACAAGTGACATTTTTGAATAATTTGCCAATAAGTGATATTTGGTTATTTTATAATAGCTCCTATATATACGAAAGATGATTTGGTTTTCTAGTGAGAATGTCTAACCATCTATATGTAATGGTTCTCCTAAGTTTATCTTAATATTAAAATAAAACAAACTGAATCTAGACATTATTGGTATTGTATTGTTGTTATCTCTAGATGTTTCCTCATTTTATTTACTTGAGCTATGGTCTTAAAAATTAAAAAAAATCATTTCTTTTTTTAAATATCAAGGGGTGTGGTTATTTAATTTTTAAAATAAATCTAGTTAGCTGTTACCACCTCTCACTGAGTCAGGTGAACTCTTCAGATTCTCATCGTTAACAATCTGTGGACTTAAAATTATTTTTAAAAAATTATTAAATAAAATAATATATATTGAGAGTAGGCCAGGCAACAACTGTACTGATAGTAAATGAACATTGAGCCGCACTCACTCAATTTCACACAGACCTGTGTTGCTTCTATAATGAACTCAAGGTTCTCTGTCTCTGCATATCTCTATTGTCTGTCCCCGCCCATAGCTGCAGGGTTTCAGTTTCTCTCTAGCTTGCACATTTCTCTGACCACATTAAAGTATTCTTGGGTTCCCAGGGTTATTTTGTTGTTGTTGTTTTGACTGTAGTGATCATTGTCTTCTGTTCCTCTGTGAATAATCCCACCAGTGATTTCAGGACAGGCAGTTAGACTGCACATTAATTAGTCCAGAAAGGTTCCCTTACTGTAGTGGGTAATGTGTCTGGTCACTTGGCATGAGTTTGTTTCTGCAAGATATAAGTGTGATGAACACTATTGCAACTTGCATATTATTTTATGCTTAGTTAGCTGTATGTTGCATCATTTGAAATATTCCTCCCCACATCATGACAGGTGGAAGGTGATATACTCATATAAAAATATGTTCAAACATTAAGTCTGGCTATCTTTTATTTACCTACCCTATCACCAATCTTATACTTCTTAATACATTATTTAATTTATATTTTTTATTTCAATATGGATGTCTTTTTTTTTTCCAATTTTACTTTTCTCTTTTGAAAAGAGAAACCTAACTCATAACTCTACTTTAAAATCAGGAACACCTAGAAGGCAAATCTTCAAGGCAAAATTAAATCTATCTCTCTATCTATGTATCTAGCTATTTTCTATCTATATATTTTCTATCTTTTTTAATATCTCTAATTATCATATATCTATTTTTCCATCTACTTCCCTTAATCTGATTTGTCTAAAATAGCTATTATCTCTTACCACTAAATTAAAAATAGAAATAATTATAACTATTTGTAAATATATAAAATGGGGATATCACTGATTCTATGTAATTCAATATACTAGATTAAACAGTTATTGCATTAGTAGTATTGATACCTCCTATTTATTATGATAATTTAGTTTCTGGTTTCATTCCTTATTTTTTTTTGGAAAATTTTTCTGGATAGATTATGCAACAGTTCAATATAATTAAACAAATATCTGGATTGTCTTGTGAACTAAATCTATACATATACAAAGTCATACTTTAAATCATTATGCATTTATCACTTTTTTAGCTTAGATTTTTATTATAATTTAAAATAAAATACTTGTGAAGTTTCCCAATTAATATATTTTAAGAAAACTTATCTTCAGGTTAAATTAAAACAAAAGGCTGTCATTCAATAATCCAATCCCAAAGTGCTCCATTATCAGTTTCCTCTTCTCTACCATCTTCACTCAGTCTACAGTATTTTACAAAAGAAAATATCTGAATAATCTGTAATAAACGAGACACAGACCCCTACTTGATTACAAATTTTATCGTTGAAATTTATGAACAATTAATAGTCTATGTAAATTCTCATCTCTAATGATAATAATGAAATTAAAATAGTACATACCATTTAAATGTAGAAATAAAATGTGTTTATGATCTCCTCTTCTAAAATATAATTTAAAACCAAGGTTATTGAATCTACATCTTTTCTTATATTTCTGATATGTTTTAAAGTTAAACAAAAGTCAGGCTAGGAGCCTGATGGTGGTGGCGCATGCCTTTAATCCCAGCACTTGGGAGGCAGAGGCAGGCGGATCTCTGTGAGTTCGAGGCCAGCCTGGTCTAGAAGAGCTAGTTCCAGGACAGGCTCCAAAAAGCTACAGAGAAACCCTGTCTCAAAAATCAAAAAAA